GACGGAATTGTAAAAATTCAAAAATCCCCCCCCCCCCCCCCAAGATACGTTTTAAAAAAGTCTATGGATATTATTTCCATGATTGTAGATCAGTGAGTTAGACTTGCTCAATAAAGTCTCTTCTGTGTGCCAATCTGTTTCAAAATTTTGAACGTATAAATTTATGTTAAAAGTCAAAACGTTTGGAACTAATTGGGACAAATTTTAAGAATAGTAGAATAAATTCACGAGAATATATATTAAAGAATACAATAATAGGCAAATTTTCGAGCAAAATTGTGCGTGTCCCAATGTCCAGCACAAAATTAAGCCCCGTTTACACTACGGTCAATATTTGGTATGGCACGGATAAAATTGGTACCCGTATTTTGAGCCCCGATTACACTACGCTCGATTTTTTGTACCGTACCACTTTTTTGGTTCTTGGACTAAAAAGCGGTACGGGTACCAATTTTATCCTTGCTGTACCAAAAATTGAGCGTAGTGTAAACTGGCCTTTAGTATTCCCAGTAGCCTGCATAGCAGGTGTTTTCTGCTCTGCAAATTGTGACGTAGCTCACTGGCGGCACTGCGATTGGTCCATTGGCGATCCGCTCGTTTTGCTTGTCCGTGCATGCACGAAGCGTGGCCTGCCTATTGCCGCATCCCAAGCTAAGGCACGCGGTCAGAATTTATTCTATGATCAGAACATTCGACTACAGGTGCAAATGAAATATTCACACAAAGAAATACACGAACATTTGAGCATCAGGTTAGTGAATCTTTAGCGTTGAATACTATCGGTAAAGTATACAACGCAAAATATCTACATTGTCATTGACTACAATTTTTATCATTCATTTGGCAATATTTTTGAAAAATATCATCAGTTTCGCTCTGATAAAAAAATGCACTTGTTTGATTGACTTTTTACCAAATTATTGTCGCTATACGTTTGTTAATTAAGTATTATAGTTTTCATAAGTATGTGTTGTAATATGGTTGTGAAGTAGTAACCGCTTATGACTGGCATTAGATAACTGAGCTAAAACCCGACAACAAGTGCATACATGAATGATAGTGAGTCGTCACTATCCAACTTGCAAGACCTTATAATTAGTATAGTATAGTTGATATATGGTACATTTACACTATTGGTTTCATGTAAAACCTGACTTGCAATGATTTTATCGGCAGAATTAAAGATGCATGGTTTTATCAATGTGAATTCATAAAACGACCACATGTAGCGGCATTATTAATATATGCATATTTGGCGGCATTGCTAAGCTTTTCCGTTGTTTTGTTTCTGAATAGGGAAGAAAAACATGATTTTGGTATCTTGAATGGCTGGGAACAGTGAAATACAAGGTAGGAAAATCTTCTATTGAAAATATTTTTAAAATCGAAAGTGACCTTTGTGACTTGTGTTCCAAGAATTGCTTTCCCAATACTTGGAAATGGCCTTTCGGTTTGCTTTGTTTTACATATTTAACTTAGCGGTGCATGTCCGCTTGAACCTATAGCCGCGGGTAAAAGCCGAGACACACCGAATGCGATTCGACAACGCAGCGCGATTTTTCAGTTCTTGAAAGTTAATAAAACAGCCAATGAAAGGAAATTTTAAAAGATATGTAGACCTAATAACTCAAAATGTTATAGCGCTTTTAAATATTTGAAAAACTTAAACACGGATCAAAGTTATCGATCAGTGAAAATCGAAAAATCGCGCCCCGTTGTCGAATCGCATTTAAGTAGAAAGACAATATATATAATGTGATGAAAAAATGAATGTTTATGAGTGCAACACCATGCATGGTAAGAATATTTGTGTGAGGTGAAACATAGAGTTATCCATATTTCACGAAACTGAATTGGGGATTTCAATACTCTGCGACAACGATACAAGTAGGATTGGTCCGCGACAACGATATATATACCGCATGTAGCGAGCAAGCCATATTTTCCCGGAGAAAGGGACAAAGGCTCTGCTCGTACGATACAACGATATAATTGGGATGTACAGTTAGTTTGGATGGTACAGTGCAAAAATCCATGGCTGGTCCTTTCATTTCACGTCAGTAAAATGGGAATTTTTATTTCATACCATGAGATCATAATCAGCTGACTAAATGACTATAAGATGCCATGTAAAAATATTTTTTAAGTGTTCTGACTATGTATTCCTCTTTAGCTCGCATGCAAAATATAATAAGAGGAAAAATAAGTAAGTATGAGGGTATGTAAAAAGTATGAGGGGCCAATTCAGGTCTACAAAAAGTGTAAGAAAACTGACATTCTGTTGCTCTCTTGTTCTTCAGTCATTATAGAAGGGTTGTATGCTTCAATAGCAAAATGCCTATTATGAATTATTTTACTTAATTTGTCATTCAGCACAGTAACCCATTGCTGCCCACATATGTGGAATTCTAGATTTGTGTGATTGAGTGACTGTGTGATTATTCTTGTAATTAGAAACCAATGTGAATACTGCCAGATTATCATCCTATTTTCCAGCCTCATGTGCCCTTAATATTACGTTTGTTCAATCTGCTGAATACAAGTATAAAGAAATAGTTATTGACTGTGTCATTTGTGTGTTCCCATATACTGTCAAATTACTGAACATTAGAATTTCTGTGAAAGTGCCAGAGATGGTAAAGGAAAAGCATTTCCAGTCAACAACTTTGAGAAATCTAAAGCAAAAAATGCTCCAGCAATAAGACTAACAAGAAAAAGAGCACACTAAAAAATTTAGAGTAGAAAATTACAATTTTGTTTTACTAAGTGATCATGTGTATATATACAGCCATTTCAATTAAGGTCGTCCACAAGCAAAGCGGAAAAGTCGAATACGAGCGCGAAAGGCTGCTGGGAATCGGGAATAACATTTGGTGAAAATATGATGGAAATCAGACTGATTTTGGGCGCGCAGTAGCGATTTTCCGCAAAACGCCAAAAAGGGTGCCCTGTAACTTCGTACCCAGGCTCTTCTACGCTCCTCGCCTGGGTAGCAAATCTTCGAGTTAAGCCCTTCGAGTTAAGCCCCTTTCGAGCGAGTTAAGCCACGCCCATGCCTCGCCCATTTCCGTGGGGTAGGTATTTTTCGAGTTAAGCCCTTTTCGAGTTGAGTCCTTGCCACGCCCTTTTTTGCCGGGGGCTTAACTCGAAGTCAACTACTAGAGCGTGACATCATACTGAATGGTTTTGTTAGAAAATGGTTTTACTAGCTAGAACTTCATTCTTGATCATTCTGATTTCTGAGAATATCCAAATAGTACATAATCGTGATATTTTAGTTTCGTTTACCGTTGCTGTGATTGTTATTATTCAGTGCCGTTGGTAATTAGTGGAAATATTTGTATCTATTATCCACTTGTAATAGTTTGAATTTCTTCCTGTCTGTTCTCTCTCTGACGAGTTCAGCTTGGCAAGATAAGCCTTGTGTCATGTGAATAGTCACCGGAAAACTATAAAACGAGTTTACATAATATTTTAGTCCTAGATCTTGTCGTTGCCGAGTAAATCGGTTAGAAAAGTAGCTCGCCACCATATGAACATGTCTAAGATTTGCGTTCTGCAAGTGCCGCTATATATTATTTATTTCTTAAAGTCGTAATTGCCGCCCTGAATGAGCTGTTGTTTACAAATCCTTATTGAGCTCCCTCATTTCAGGATGTCATTGACATTGTCTGTAAAAAACTGTAGGCAAAGCAACAAAGATCTTAATATATATGTAGCCGTAAAATATATTTCTTAAAATTGCTGAAATTTTACATTCCCGTCCTTATATATTTGCCAATATTTTTGCGAGTATATGCACGCGTCACTTATTTACATCTACCAAATGTCGGGGCTTAACTCGAATGCTTAAATCGTTAATTGACTTCGATTTAAGCCCCCAGCGAAAAAGGGCGTAGCAGGGGCTTAACTCGAAAAGGGCTTAACTCGAAAAATACCTACCCCATTTCCGTTGAGGGCTTAATTCGAAGTACAGAACTGGACTTCGGTACTTCGAGTTAAGCCCTCTAAAAAATAGGGGTTTAACTCGAGTAAAGTCCAAACTTTTGTTCTTCGAGTTCAGTCCCAACGTTTGAAAGATGCAAACGAGTTACAGAAAATAAACAATATTCATTATTTTTAGTATATAATGTATAATTCAGTAACAATTAGTAACATAAATGTTTTATTTGCACCAGTAACGATCGGGACGTGTCGCCAACAATTTACATGGTGGCATTTACATAACAAGTAGTAGAGCTTATATATAAATCATTGTATCTACATAGATCAAGTAAAAGACCTCTTAAACAATAACATGTATACATTTATTTAGTTCAATATGTTCTGTAGCTCAATATGTTCTTTTTTCAAACTTTATGGGAAGTTTTTCCGCAAGACACGCCTCATGCTTAATACTTTTCTGAGACGGATAATAGAATTACCACTAGTCTGGTGAATAATGGGATATAGGGTCCTTCAATTACATCAAATGGGGCTGCATGCCTTTATCTACCTGTCCGGACTCTATATATCCCACTGAGCACACGTGATCATTTTTTATCCGATTTTACGTATTATTTAGTGAACGCTTTGTGTTTAAAGTCCGGGCTGAATAGCTAGAAGAATATTATTTGGACAAACTGAGGACGAAATTTAGGTCTTTGGCTTTGCCTTGTAAAATACTTTTGTGAAATGATCAAATATTTGACATTTTCCAGTTGAAATAAAAATGATTCATGCACAACAATCACAGAGGAGAATCTTTTAAATCACGCTGAACTTCAAGCTGTAATCATGAGTGCAAATAGAATTCCGCCCTCCTTCGCCCTCAAATTTCCAATTTAGGAATTTCCCTCATTCATCAATGTTTATCCAGCGCTGCACAAGTGATAAATTTTCGCAAAGTCATTTTCAAAGACTTCATTTAAATTCCGCGCGGTTGGAAAAAACTCTGAGGCGGGCTTGTGGCACGTCTAACAATGAAAGCTGTATAAAATGTTGATATTAATGTTTCGCAGGTAGCGCCTTTGGTCAGCGACGTCCTCCGCTGACTGAATTGATCGCGAGTATTTTGGTAAGATATCCGGATGGTGGACAGATTTTGAAGGTATATATAATATAACGGTTTCGTATGTATACCATTGCGAAACTCGTGTTAAAATATTCATGAAGAAAACACAAAAGAAATCATGACCTGAAAGAGTTTGTATATCTGATACAAAATCATGCTGATTTACATAAACTTTAAATTCAATTTTCTCACCGGCCAAATATCATTCATTTATTTTAATTGTTGAACTACGAATGTTCTCGTCAAAACGTCTCACAAGCCATTTAGAACATTCTCGTCCGTGTTGTGTCGGATCAGTATGCAAACTCTCGAAGGCTCGAGTTTGTATATCCGACTGATACAACAAGGCCGCTCTGCATGTTGAAAATAGTACATACGTAACTAGGAAACAACTGAAGATATTACTTATATCTGTTTGACTAGGAATTGATTCAAAATGCTGATGATGCAGGAGCAACAGAAGTTAAATTTCTTTATGATGATAAAACGTATGGCACACAGTCACTTGTCACGCCGAAGTTAGACAAGTTCCAGGGCCCTGCGCTATACTGCTACAATAATGCCGTGTTTGAAAAAGAAGACTGGAATGGTATTCAGAACCTCATGCGTAGTAACAAGAAAGAAGATCCTTTAAAAGTTGGACGGTTTGGTATTGGGTTCAACTCAGTTTATCATATTACAGGTAATTCAGAATAATCACCCACGCAGAATAAGTACACATGCACGAGGTTTGTAAATTCCTCGACCATTTTGGTATACTGCAATTGTATGTAACTATATATACAGTCTATACAGCGTGGCCCAAGGCCTTTGTAAAATATAAGCTGCAGGGGCCATATCCCAGCCTGAGCCGGCGTGTTCCCCTTCCACTGAACTGTTTTGCACCTCTCCCGAAATATGCGAAGGACCCAAGAATAACTTACCTCAAAAAAGTGTTTTAATATTCCAATAATCAAACCATGCTTTTATACTGAAAGTTCTGCAGTCTAAATGGGATATATGGCCCTGCATGGGCTACCATCGAATCAATATTTGCTAAAAGATTATTGTAGAATTTAGTAAATACGATTATTGTAGTCGATTTATATCAGAAACTATAGCCAAAATATATTCTCTATAATCTAAAAATATCTTTCTCGTTTACAAAGTATTTTTTCATTTGTACCGTGTCGACCCGTCTCTGCACTTTCTTGAGGGCATGCCAAATTTTGTAACAAAATGCCGCCCAATCCCACCATTATGCACATGGAGTAACGTTTGCCTTCACTTGTCATATTTTGAACGCTAATTACTTGGTTGGGATTTATAACTAGTAGAAAAGTTTACACAGAAGGCTCAAAGGACTCAATTCGGCTTCTAAACGGCAAATTTGTTTGTAAAATATATCGAATTTCGATCTCGGTTGGGTTACTATGCGTTGATAGAGGGAAATACCTACAACTGACCAATCATATATGATTTGGCTCTATTTAATTGCCAAAATTAGGGCAAATTTTTTCAGAAGAAATCTGTGTGACCTTCCATTGAGGCGGCGAGGGTCCGTCGAGGAAGCAATTTCCTCCCCTGGACGAGGAAATGGGTACCAACCAGCTGGCGTTTATATCTATATCATTTTCACCTTATAATATCTTTTAAACGTATACCAACTGACATTTTTCGCGCCAAAAGAATAATGGTGGATATCCCGATTCACCAAGAACCGAACGGATCAAGTAGTAATATATCTCTTTACAAGAAATGCCCCTTATATTATGTTTTTTGACAACTTGAGAAACAACCGAAAAACAATTAATGAAAATGAAACAAAGAATGGTAACAAAAATGCGAGATAAGGCCGACAAACAGGGACGTCGCTATAGGGGGTTTCAAAGTTGGTCAAAATGAAACTAATATTTGCTTAAAATTGAAGGTCAAAGTTGGTAAAATTTGGTCAAAGTTTGAGATAAAAATGGTCAAAGTTATGAAATCGTTCGCAATTTTAACAATTTCTAAGCTTTTGTCATGTTTGCGCTGAAACAATTGCAAGCCTTGCTTATTTTGGTCGAAAATATTTAAAGCTTTGCTTATGTTAGTGCGGAAAATGTTTTGA